CTCCTCTAAGATTATCGGCTCCGAGCTTCACGAGAAAAGATCTCCAATGTAACCGTTCTTCTGCTGGAACTCCATTGAAACTACATCACCAGCAACATGAACCACCAAAATAAAATAAAGTTTGACATCCAATCATGAAAAGCATCTACTAATAGTTACTAGTTAGAATATGCCTAAGAACGTTGCTTAGAAAATCTAGGCGAAATTTTGCAAGTGAATTGTTTTCCATTTGCTGAAAATAGGGGTGGCATATTTGTCAGAACAACCGACCGAATCGAACCAAACTGACACTTAAACAATGTCGAATGGTAATGGAACAGAACCAAACCATTTTTTTACAATAACCTAACATATTTTAGGTCGGTAACCGAGTGAAAATCATTTCCATTTCGATATGAATAAATTGGTTCATTTTGGTATAACTTGTTCAGCTGCCGAACCAAGTCCACCCTTATAAACACTCGAGGGAATTTTGCAACTGAATTAATAAGCTTTACTCTATAATTTAGCTCAATCTAAACAATACACCACTAAACCTCAAATAGATCCAAATATACGTGAAATTGAAGCTTTATTTAACAGGAACATGAACTAAAACAAGAAGAGAATCCAATCCAGATCAAGGTGATAAAAATAAGAAAAACCAAAAGAAAAAAACAAGAGAATGATTTGCTTATTGGACCAACGTCTAATTGATTTTTACCGTTCGACGAGAATATTGCCCTCGGAGTTGGCGATCAAAGCCGCGAGCAGCATCTTTCTCCTCACCTGCGATCTCAAGTCGTCGGACCAAACCTCGCTCCGATTTGTCGGGAAATTATGCGAATAAAGCTTAACTGTTGATTCTTTGTTTGGGAATCTGGGATGTATTCCTCTACGTTTTAATTATTGTTGATACTAGTAATCATCCCGTGCATTTGCACGGACAAGAATAATTAGAAGAGTTACGAATATAAAAAAAAATACAAAATAATGATTTAATTCAAAAAAAAATATGAATTAAAAAAAATAAGTCTAAATATTATTAAATACTTCTTTGTATACAATATTTAAGGTTTTCCTATCGTCGGAATCACCATCACCACATATCATTATCTTTAAACCCTTCCGATTTGTGACTCTAAAAAGAGCCACGTACAACTGTCCATGACCGAAAACAGGGTTCTTCAAGACTAAACCGACGTGTGAGAGAGACTGGTCTTGACTCTTGTTGATCGTCATAGCATAGGACACCATGATTATGTGTTTGATAGCAGATTTTGAATAAAACATTCAGAGATGTTTGATAGCAGTTTTTAAATTTTTAATAGTACTATGTGTTTTTGCAGAAATTTTTTAAAAACAAAAAGGAATTATATTTCAGCTTTAGGAATAAAGTAAATTAGATTATGAAGAATCAATTCACATGTTTTTTATTCATTATTTAAGACATTAGAACAAAGAAAATAAATTAAATATATATAATGAAATGATTTCTCCAAACCACATGTATATAAAATTAATTTTATGATTATAGCATGATGTTGTGATAATGTGATGTATAGTACAAATTAGGGTTTTTTTTCTTCAAATTTTTTGTTAATTGTTGCTTTTGTTTAATGATATCACATTTTATAATAATAGTTATTCATTAGATAGTATGACATTTAATAATAATAGCTAATATTTTCTTTGTTAATTTATTTACTGTTATTTTGCAGGTACAATAGCAACAACATATTGGAGATTGATATTTATTTCAATTTAAATATGTAATTTTGTAATTTGATTTATTTTTTGATTATTTGCAACTAAAATGATTATATATCAATGCTTACACGTTTTATGTCCAATAATTCAAATAAAGTGCATGATTTGAGGTTTTAATTTAATTCAAGAATAGAAGATAACCATTTCAATATAATAGGATATATGATTAAATGCTGAAAATTTTGGAGGGATAATATAATTTAATGCTGAAAATTTTGGAGGGATAATATAATTTAATGCTGAAAATTTTGGAGGGATAATAAAATTAAATGCTTAAATTTTGGAGGGATAATATAATTAAATGCTAGGTAATAATTTAATGCTTTGTTGTTCCAAATTATATATATATATATATATATATATATATATATATAATTAAATGCTGAAAAAATTGGAGGGAAAATATAATTAAATGCATTAGAATAAAATTAAATGTTGTTATGCCAAATTATATATTTATAGATATTGTAAACCTTTTGGTTTTGGGTAATGTCCTAAGTATTGATCAACACAGTTCCGCTCACCTGCTCACGGTAGACAGTGTCCACCACTTTATTTTACATGAAAAACATATTCTGAGAATACGTTTTTCAATTAAATTAATGAAAAATGTATTCTTAGAATACGTTTTTCATGTAAAATAAAGTGGTGGGCACCGCCCACCGTGGACAGGGGATAAAATTAATTTTAGATCAACACACGTCGCAATCTGTTGCACTACTTTTTCTCCATTTGCAACACCGTCGTGATTGACCGCTTCTCACTTTGTCTTCCGAAAATACCCTTCTTACAACTGCTCACTCAGTACCCTCCCCAGACCCATTTTCGCCATTTGTTAACAACTCAAAAACATTTCCACGCCTAATTTTCCAACAGGCTCAGCAGTCTCTCTCTCTCTCTCTCTCTCTCTCTCTCTTTCTCTCTCTCTCGCCATAGACAAAGACCTTGTCGGTTGTCTCCAATGTATCATGCACCCACCAACTGTGTAACTGCGTTCTAGTTTCTTGTTCAAAGGCTTTAGGATTTTTATTTTTTATTTTTTTTTTTAATTTTTTTTTTTGGGCTTTTTTGATGGGAGGAATGATGGCGGTGGATGTGGCGTTGGAGTTCCTAGTCCCGTCTTGGTGGGAGTTGCAAGTCGCCTTGGCAGCGGCGGCGTTTCTGGTCGTGGCGTACTGGTTCTTTGCCGTGGGTGGCGGCGATGGATGTGGCTCCGATGATCGGGCGTTCTCGGATGGCGCCGGCGCTGCGGACGCGATTGATGATAAGGATAAGGTCATTCCCTCGAACTCATTTTGCTTTTGATTTTGATGTTAATTTTATTTTGGTAATGTATTTGTCAGCGATCGGTGTTTTTTTTTCCTCTCTATTATCGTATCAAAACCTTCCAATTGGAGTTAATGGAGAATCTTGTTGCTGTTCACGTAGAATGGTCTAATTTGGAAATTTTACTGGACTCGTGAATTTTCTGTTCCTTCCTGTCTTTGTGCTGGTTTCCTTCTGCGGGTGATTTTAAGATTATAATTAGTTCTCTCTCAGTTGTGCAAATGCGGTTTCGAGGAATCAGTAATTGTTTGAAGTTTCTTTATAATTTGGCCCAAATGAGTATAATGATTGGGTGTTCTCCTGAGAGTGATGATTATAGTTCATTTGAGATGCTTTTGTCTTGTGTGTGTGTGTGTGTGTGTGTATTTTAAACTGTATCCACTGTCTTTGTATGTCATTCTATCTTCTTTATTATGTTATTGTGATGAATATTTGGAGAATGGAGTAATTCTATCAAGTCGAATTTGTTTGCCGTAGAAGAACTTTCTCAATCTGCATTTCTTATTTCTTATACAGGCTCGATGATTGCGATGCTGGTGAAACTCTATCTTTTTTTTTTTGTTTGCTATCTATTTGTAGGAAGAAAAGTAAACACTGGATAAATTGCTTCACTTTGATGAAGCATAATGAATTTCAACACCTTAGCATTGAAATAAAATTAATAAAAAAATAGGCATGATACATATCCATTTCTTATCATTGTAAAATGTCAGTTACCAAATTTGTTAAAGTTGTTTACTAAACCATATACTTTATTGAAACTCATTCTCCCTTCTCAAGCAACAACTTGACTAAATCTTTTATTGTTGTGTTGTTTCATAAACAACATATAGTTATTGTAATTCGCTATACTAGTGAAAAGAAGAATACCAGAATATAGTGCTCAAATGAAGGCAAAACAAATCTTTGTAATTCTAATGAAACCATCCCCTTTTTGGTTGAGTTAAAATTGTTTCTGTTAGAATTTTTGCTGGTTATTCTGTCTCACATGAAAAACTTAAAATATACTTTTAGCCAATGATGGCGAAAGCATACACCTGTGGCTTTTAAAGGAGTGTCTTAATTGTCAATACTTTTGGTCTAGCAGTGTATTTTACTAGGAAGTGTGGTAATAGATTTGTTCTAGTTGTTGAGTTTTAACTCCATAACCATAACTTTTATTGCCGTATTACTTGCAGTACCTTGTTAGTCATGACGTTTCACCATCTTTCTGTGGATCTATGATGTAGTAGTTTGGTAGAAATTTCCTTTTGTCATCCGCTAGTTCTTTTTGGATGTATATATGGTCTCCAATCCGGTTCTTATCCAAAACCAGTATCCTGATCTTTTCCTGCAAAAATGCTCACTGTTGCTTGGATTTCATTTAATAATTTCCACATGGGGTTTAGCTAGCTGATTAATGTGTGCTTAGTTATCCCTTTATGGCTAATTTGCTTATCTTATTTGTTACATGTATCTTGGAGTAATTTCCACTAACTTGACATGCAGTTCTGCACTTCTTTTGTAGATGGGCCAGTTTAAAGGCGATTCTCCTAATTCTGCATACCTCATAAAGGTACATCTAACATTTTTTTTTCCGTAATTTTTTATTTATATTTCATTATGTTTTATGGGTGGTTCCTTTTTGTATTCTTTTACCAATCTTTTGTCCTTGAATTTTCTTAAATATCGACTTCCATATTCAGGTGGAGCTGTTGGCAGCAAAAAATCTTATTGGGGCAAACCTTAATGGCACATCGGATCCTTATGCAATAATCACTTGTGGTTCAGAAAAACGATTCAGGTGATTGCATCTCTATTGGCACCTCTATTACCCTCAAGCAACAATTACTTTTTGAAATATCCTGCCACATTCTTATTTCATTTTGATGTTTATATTCCCATTATATGTTTGAATTTCACCAACTTTGTGTTTTAGATTCTGTAGGTCATGCTGCACTGAGTACATGTCATGGCAGTTTTTAATCTTTGTTACCTGAAAAATCTTAAGCCTTATTTAGTTTTGATAAATCAAAGTATTATCACCATGACGTGATGCTCTCACTTAGAGATACCAAGTGGTGCACATCAGGCTAGCAAGTGTGTATGTTGAAACAATATATATGCGGATTCAGTTTACAACTTCTAACTGGATAGTGGATGATTGAGTTTTTTGCTTGTTTCTCCATAACATCCATATGGCAGAACAATCAGTTATACTGTGGTAAACCAGCAAGAATAGTAAAGAAAAAAAAAAAATAATATCGGAGCGTACGTTTTCACTCTATCGAATCAAGAGCACTTTTAGGTATGATATTTTCTCAAATGGATGGACGGATTCAACTTACAGGTGTATGTTTGATTCTGTTGTACTTGTCATCTACTACAGTCACCAAGATAATCAGGTTACCTATTGTTTAGATCACTGTAGTTGCAAGCAGTTCAATGCTTTGTGTGTGTGTGGCTGGCTTTACCGAGGACGTTAAATAGAAGTCGCATGTGTGTATGCTGTTTCTTGGTATTCTTTTCATTTTTTTTATGTGATTGAATGCTTTTACTCAGTGCTTCATGATTCTTCGAAGACCTCATCATAAAAGTTAGTGCAGGAATGTTGTCTAGAGGTGATTAGCTTTTTGCATTAAGGGTTCTTTGATATCTTAAACCTGTAGTCTTTTCATAGATTGAGAATCTAGAGGTTCTTAAGAGATGATTAGTGTTGGAAATAAGGTGGTGATAAGAGAAACCTGATGAGATATCCATAAAACTATGTACTTTAGAAGAAATGAAAAATCATAAAAGACAACAGAGTTGGTGATGAAGGAAAAGTAGAGAAGTAATATATTTTACTCTTAAAAGGTTCAATGTTTCTGTATCGTCACTTGAAAGAGGTAAGTTGAATCAAGTAGAACGGAAAAGGTTAACTTAAATTAAAAATGACTATCATGGAGAGAG